TTCTTGTGAGAGGAAAAGATCACAGGACAGAGATTACCCTGGACAGGCCATACCAGAAAAAGGTTATCGGGAAGGTCATTCTGGCCCTAAGATGTGTGTTTACGTAAGGAATTTTCCATTTGATGTCTCAAAAATTGAAGTGCAAAAGTTCTTTTCGAGATTCGATATTGATGAAGATGATATCTACTTGCTCTGTGATGATAAAGGAATTGGGCTGGGAGAAGCACTAGTGAAGTTTAAATCTGAAGAACAAGCCATGAAAGCAGAAAATCTAAATCGTCGAAGATTCTTGGGAACGGAGATATTAGTAAGGCTTATATCTGAAGAACAGATGCACAAGTTTGGTGTGACTGTACCACTGTCTGCACCAGATGAAATGCAGGGTCCTTCACATCCGTATGACAGAGATGAGCTTTCCCATCCAGTTGGTTCACCTTCTGGGCCACCACCAGGGCCACCCATGCATTCGTTTGGTCCCCCTGGGAATTTCAGGCATCCTTCTGAATTTAGGCATCCTCCTGAGGACTTCATGTGCCCTCCTAAGGATTTTAGAGGCCCGCCACCCCTCATGGATTTTGGTGGTGACAGTGAACCTTTTGGCAGAATGGAGTTTGGGAATAAAATGGGAAGTTTTCCTGAAGGAAGATTTATGCCAGATCCAAACTTCAGTGGTGGTTCTGAACGCGTTGTTCCTATTCGATTGAAAAATTTACCTTTTAAAGCTACTCCTAATGAGATTCTGGATTTTTTCTATGGCTACAGAGTCATACCAGAGTCAGTTTCTGTACAGTATAATGAACAAGGATTACCTTCGGGTGATGCCATCGTTGCTATGACAAACTATGAGGAAGCTATGGCTGCTATTAATGAACTGAATGATAGGCCAATTGGTCCACGGAAAGTTAAGTTGAGCTTGCTGTAAAGGAGGAAAAGATGGTCTAGAATAAAACATTCTAGATTTGACAGTATTGACAGTTATTTTCACTTTTTTAATTACTGGAAGATGCAGAAGAAACTGTTTCCATTGACTGTTGTAAATAATGTCTAGTTCAGTTGTTTAGTTCTTGGTTGAAATATCTGTATGGTTAAGATAGGAGAACTCTATTGTGCCTACTTCTTGTGGCAGAGAAGAGCCCAGAAATTATGGAGGACATTGAATGTCTTACATCAAGGTGTAAAGGCATGGAGTTGTAATGCTTTGGGTTATTTTAGTTTGCTTTAATTCCATGTCCCATGACTTTGCATAAGAAAAAAAAAAAATGTAAGTGCTGGTTGATCGACCACACAAACGGTTCAAATAGAAGAACTTAAGTGCTACTGCATTAGTAGATAATGCTTCTTACTGAGGTTAGCTTAATAAAATTAAGAAAATGACTGATTTTTTTTTTTTGTGTAAACTGTTCAGGTTTTGTTCGGTTTTATGTGGTTGCAGGCATTCCTATTAAAAGAAGAAAAAAGAGCTTCCTGTTCACATCAGCTTGCTTTGCAACTTTTTTAAAATAAAAAAGAAATTACCATTAAATTTGTGTCTTATATTTAAAACTTGTATAATTAATGATCTTGAGTATTACGCTCAGCATACATGGGTCTTGGTGAGAATGATGCTGGCTGTTTCCTCTCTAAAGAGTGAACTTCTTACAGTTTGTCAACATAGCAGTGAATATGTAGTTTACAAGGACTGCAAAAATCTGTATTAATGGGTGGGATAGGCTTTCTTGTTCTCCTCACTCACTGTAGTACCTGGAGGCAGAAAATAAATCTTGGAAGTAGATCAAGAGTTCTGACTTCAGCCTGAGCTTTTGGAGTGGTCTTTGTTTTATCTCCACATGCTCATAATATGAATATTAACTTGCTAATGATGTCTGGATGCATTCCAGGTCAATCTGATTAGTTTTAACTAACATCTGTCACTGGCAGCCAAGCTGAAAACCAGCTATGTTATTTTCTTATGTAAGAAAATAAATGCTTATGTCAGTATTAAGAATGCTTTGATTGGTTTGGTACCAGCATATTTAAATTTTAGGAAGAAATAAAAGCTAGACTCTTTGAGGAAAAACTGCATCTTCGAAGTTCAGGCTTAGGAGGAAACTTTGGTTGTGTGGATAAGGACTTCGTACCATTGTTGACATTGCAACTGTACAAGATAGTATTTGGAGTACTAAAGAATTTTATGATCTTTTAGTCCCCTCTCAAACTAAGACAACAAACTTGGCAATGAAAACTTTTTTTAACCTTTGCTTGAGCAATACCAAAAAATCAGATTCATAGAGTAATAGAGGTTGTAAGGGACCTAGAGATGTCTAGTCCAGCTGCCTTCTCAGCTCGTTATTCTAGGCCTTGTCTGACTTTAAGTATCTCTAAGGATAGAGACTCCACAGCCTCTCTTGGGTAGCCTGTTCCAGTGACTGATCACCCTCACTGGTGGTCAAACCTTCATTACTTTGTTTATATAAGGTCATCATTACTAAACTTCCATGTAAGTAGAAGCAGGCAAAATCAAAAGACATTTTTTTTTGTTCTATACTTTGTAAAAGGCCAGTCCAGTGTAGCTTCATTTCATCTGCATGTTGTTTGTCTCGGTTTTAAAACAGGAAAAAAACCATTTTGAATGAGAATGATAATGCCAAGTCTGTATATGTAGATTCCTCTGAGCAAAAAAACTTAAAATGTGGCCAAATTTGCAAATTCTGAACACTTACATACTGTTTTCTGCTGTCTGGTAGGAATTAGCTTCGGTAGCGTAGTGTTCTGAATCCTCCTCTGAATTTAAATGGAATTAAAATTTAAAAAAAATCCACAACAAAATGGTGCTTTTATTTCATAGCTGCTATAAAAGAGATTAAGGAGACAGAAGATTTGCAGGGAAAATAAAGATGTGTTACAAGAATCTGCAAAATAAAGTTGTCTGACATAATCGTGCTGGTGAAAATTTCATCAAGATTATTTTTGTAAGCTAACATCTTTACTACTCGTTCTTTCCTTTGTATTACCAGCTGTGTTGTAAATGTGAACACAACTAACTTCTCCAGCTTGAGATTATTTGTTGGTTTAAAAGTTGTTCTAGCTACACAACAGGAGATTTCAAACAGTGACAATAAATTGGTAAACTCTTTACCATGCTTCTTGAGTAGTGTTGGTACATAGGATTGAATTCTTGTAATTAAAAAAAGATTGGGAGGCTGGAAGGATAGGGGAGTTTAGTAGGTATTTTGATGGTTAAGTGTGAGATTATCTTTTAGAAAAAGCATTATCTGTTCTCAAGAAAGCGTGAGTAATTGCTGATAAGGTACTATAAATTTTTGGGATGGTAAACACTGTATTTCTCTGTTTCATTAAGTTTTTCTGTAATTCCTAAAGTCGACCTTTTTTGTGAGGTAGGAGAGGAAGAGGAATTTGAAACTGCTGAGGATGAAATTATTTCTCTGTACCCTAGCTACTAATCTTGTAGTTGGAATTAATCTCAGCACTGCTTCCTTTTTTATTCAGAATTCCTTTTTCAAGCCATAGTACAGAAATAATTGCTATTTGCATATCTATTATATGAAGACCTGGTCTAGCAATGAACTTAACCATCTGTTTTGGATTACATGACTTCACAGAAAATGAAACGGTAAAGCGGTGATCATCATAATACTGATGTTGTGATACAAATATTTATTGAAGTTCCCTACTTGCCAAAATAGATGGGAATTAGTTATGTAGATACTTTTAAAAAGTTTTAGGCATTAGTATTCTACTCCTTCCCAACAGCAGTTCAATGTCAATAGTATGTAATTCTCGTGTAAAATTATTTTCTGGTTTTAAAACAAAACCCTGTACTGTGACATTTTCACTTATATTTTCATCACATTATTTTTTTGTCAAAACCTGTTTTTTACCTGTCAAAACAAGTATATATTGCATATTTGCATTAGTGGACAAAGGCAGCATCAATATTAAAAATGCATTTCCTGGTTTATTTCTGTACTGGAAAAAATATTTGGTTATAACTTAAGATTGTTTTCTGAGTTACAAGTTTAATTTCTAGATTTATATATATGTTCTTTCTACATTTAGCAGATTCTAAAGCTGGAGAGAAACAGTACGGTAGCAGCTTTCTGGCAGACAATAGTATGCTATTCAAAAATGAACGTGCATAACCACCATCTCCAAAGAGGACAAGAAGTTACACTCAGCATGTGTAATTTGTTATATGTTTGATGGAATTGGTAACTGAATCAAACAGTTAAACACACGTGAAAATTGATCTATATATAGCATGTCAACTACTACAATAAATGTCAACTATATAAAATACCAACTAATCTTATTATGAAGGCACTTTTATTTAAAAGCAAAGCAGCATTAAAAGTAGATACTGGGCTGAGTCCTTATTTGTTAGTGTTCATTCTGTATGTGTAAAGTAATAAAAAGTCATCTTAGTCAAGCCTGAGGTAAATGAGAACGAGACAACACTACACCTCACCCTGCCTTCTGCCATCCTCGATGGGTAACAAAATGAAATGTAACAGGATTGATGCTGCAATCAGTTTCTTGAGTGCTGCAGTTACTTTAGGATGTATAAAACCAATTATCACAGGTATAGCTAGAGGACTGACTAAAGCCAAGAGGTGTGCAGCTACAGAATAAGGTAATATATTGGCAAAGTAATAAGCAAACCCTTATGTTCATAACTGCTTGTCAGCTTAGTGCAGTTTTTGGACAAAAGTCATGTAAATTTAAGCAAGTATGACTGCAGTATAACATTTATGCAAATGTTATACAGGATTCTATTTAAATATTTCATTTTCTAGCTACTGTAATTGTCCATTTTCAGCAGATTCTGTTCCCTTCTTTGAAACTAGTAATTTGTTTCTGGCACTCTACTATAAGTACCAATGCTTGCTCCTGGTGAAATTTTAAAAATACAGCCTCAGTGAAATTTTGGATTAACACAAAAAAGCCTTTAAACAAAAGGATTTTTTTTTCCCCAATCAGAAAAGACTCTTAGAACAGTTTTGTTATCTCACTTCTTTAGTAGCATCTAATTCTTCCTCCTCCTCCTCCTCCTCTTCCTCATCTTCATCTTCTTCCTCCTCTTCTTCGTCTTTTCTTAACATACTGCTGGAAATCTAAACCAGAAATCCAACCAAAGTAAATAAAATGTTTGTTCTCCTGAAGGAAAAACAATTTGCTGTTGGCTTTTCTGGGTCTAAGTACTTGTAGGTTTTTCATTTAGCGGGAAGGGGGAAGTTGTTCATCCCTTAACCCTTCAATTTCTAGTAACGTGCACAAAGCTAACAGAAAGATATATGGCACAGAATATAAATACAGTAATGATTTTTAAAAGCTTAAAAAAAAAAATCCCCATAGTCCTGAGAACTATTATAGGATAGGGAAAACTATGCATTAATTTATTTAATGTTAAAAATCAACAGGGTGTAAGTTAGTTTTTTTCGGGGCTGGCTGTTGAGACAGCAGGCTGAAGATGAGTATTAAGGCATAATCTTATTATGAAGACATCAAACCTCTTCAGTTAAATAAAAAACTCAACACTATGCTGCTCTAAGCTGTTTTTGAGAATAAATTATACAAACTTTACTAGAAGAGTCTTGATTCATCTGTGAACTTTTTTCCCTGCCCATCAGCGCTTGCCCTTCAGAATGATACTGTCGTCCATTTTTGGTTCATCAAATGTTAAAAACAAGTGCCAGCTGCCAAGCTTTTATCTCATCTGACAGATTCTGTCATCTATACTTTTTCTAATGAGGGCTCAATCTAATTCCTATTGAAGACAGATTCTTCACAGAAGATGCAAGATTTACAATTTAAAGTAGAATATAAGGGTTTTTTTTCCTTTCCCCTAAGAAAAGGAACATTAAACTCAAAGATAGTTATCCAAGTCATCTGGAATGCTTTTGAAAAATGATTTTAGGTTCAGCAGTTCTCTAAGGGCATCTGCAGCTCTAATTTTGGTTATATTTTCTGAGTTTTCTCACATACAATGTTAATATAAAACTTCAGTATTGAAGACAAAACTTGCCCTCTTTTTTTTTTAACCAACCCCCTATTTTAAAAGTCTTTAAACGCTGGTTCTTAAATTGACTTCTGAGATTTCATAATTAATACAGCTATGTATGTAACAAAAGTTTTTTGTGTGTGCATAAAGCAAACTGCAATCATTGAACTAATGAAGGCAGAAAAATCCTTGGTCTTGTTGGTGCTCACAAAGTATGTAATTTAGCTTGAAGCAAATGCTTGCTTACAAATCTCTAAACATAACAGAAAATGGAGTTAAATTATTGGATGAAGCTGGGTTAACTCACGTCTAAATGCCAATACCAGCAATCTTTCTTTCTGTGAAAGAAGAAAAAGACAATTGCACTGATTTGTAATTGGAGATTAAGGAGTGCTGCAGATTGAGCCTGTTAAGGTAGTTTCATTTCAATGGATAGACTAATTTTTTCAAGTTTTTTCTAGTTAAGAACATGTGAAATTCTTAAGCAGAACTTCAAACATATTTCTCAATAAAAGCTCCCCTTTCCCCTTTTCTGAAATAAGAGGTGCTATTTTGGCTTTAAGGCTTTTTTTCTGCTCACTATTCGGGTACCTCTGACCATGCTGTAATTAACTAAATAGTAAATTAAATATTATCGCTAGTGGCAGTGAGGCAGTAGTAAGATGGCTAACGTAAGAAACAAACTGGATCACGGTAAGGAAAGTGAGAAAGAAAGGCAATTGTGCAGTTTAAATCTATGTTATGTTGCCATAAAGCTAGAACGTACCCTACTAGTACTTGAAAATTCAATTTTTGATTACTTAATGCTGAAAAAATAATTTAATTTAAAAAATGTAATGGAATCTGATAGTTTGTTGCTTATCATAAACAATTTTATGTGAAAATGAATTCTTTAAGTTTCACATAATGTTAATGATGACTGTCCTTGCTTAAGCTGTTGAGTTGCACGTTTCAGTGCATGTGCTACTACAGAAAGCATGGCAATTCTCATGTCTTGCACAGCAGGCAGTGTTGGAACACCTGGATGCAGACATTTTCAACCATGGTAAAAATGATACTTTGCTGTCTTAGAGGGCAGGTGCTCAACAGGTAGCTCTATTAAATGCACATGGATAAAACCTGTGTAGTGAAGTTTGATTTAAAATATCTGCAAAAAGGTCATTCTCTTCTGCTACAGTTCTCTCTAAAATACAGCATACTAACCTGAATCAGTAAAACAAAATGCTGAAGATAAATTGCCAAGTGCAAAACAGAGGGATTGACAAAGGATTGTAGTGAAAACTTACATAGCCTTTTCAAAACTTGTGTAAACCAAGTATCTGTAATAGTTATGTTTAAAAAAAGCCCTGAACCCCTGAAGAGGTTTTGTCATCATGGGGAGCCATCCTGTGAAAAACAGCTTTCCTGGTACGTAGAAGTTTTCTCTCCTGATCATATTAATTGCATAGATATGAAAAAATGCAAGTCTTATTGTTGCACTGTCAGTGCAGCTTGGGACAGTCATTCTTTCTAACAGGATCGCCCACTGCTGCTTTCCTTGTGGTTTTGTAGTATTGTCTGCTAAATGAATTTTGGGCAGGTAGGATGAAGAAACCAGCACTTCAGTTGCTTGAGCTAGTCTGAGTTGAAAACAACTGTGGAAGTCAAGGGGGGGAAGAGTTGAGGGACAGAAGCATTAAGATGGACTCAAAAATAGCAGTGGTCTTTGCAAATTCCTGCTTTTGATAATTTAGCATATGGTACTCCTTCCAGAGTACTCACTCCTCCTTCCAGAGTACTCACTCCAGGACACTTTAGATTATCACGTCAAAGCAACGTGAGTTCACGTTAAGGCACCAGAACTTTAAAAGTAGGTAGCTCTTTGTGAAAAAATGAATCAAGGTCAAGGAGTACTTTAGATTTTTAATAGGGACGTAATACCGAAAGGTACATTCAAGGATGGTTTGTGCTAAATCCCCTGACAGACAGGTGTTGTGTCACCAGCACAGTTTATCCATCTGGTATGCAGTGACTGCCTGCCCCGTCCCCCACTTACCGGTTAGTGTTTGTGTCCCGTCCTTCCCCTCGCCCCCTAGTCCTAGTCTCTGTGACCTGCTTACTGTATTATTTATACTGCTTTAAACTGAAAATTCCAAAGTACTGCATTATGGCCAGTAAATTATTATTACATAGCATGAAACCAGACCTGTGAAAACTTTGGGAGAGAGGTCTACAGGAAGGTAAAACAAGTCACGTGAAGGTTTTTCTGAACACAGTGTTTTTTGCTAGTGAGGTGTTTGGTGGGTTACAGAGACCAGAGCCCTTAGTGTAATTCAAGGTACCGATCCTGATGCAACATATGACTTGCAGAATCAGAAAGGGCAGCTGGAGGGATGTGCGGAACAGGGTGCCTACCTCTCCCTTACTGCCCTATAGTGATTGCCTTAGTAGGCTGTCCCACCCCTTTTTTCTGCCATGTGATCCTCCTCTGAGGATACACTGCATAGCCCAGTAAGATGACATTGTTTTGAAATGTACTGCAGTTTCCCTCTAGGTCTAGATGACTCCCTGTTCTTTTCAGATATTCCAGGGAGAGGTTATGACAACATTATCATCTGCAGTTAAAGCTAAAAGGGAGGTCTAGGAGAAGAGTAAGGTAAACTTCCAAGTTAGTAAAAATGGAGTTCCCCTCCATCTCTGAGAGAAATCACAGTGTACATACATTTAGGTTTTTTAAAGAGTCCAAAACATAGCTACCTTTGGCACCTCAGAGTAATTAGAGATGCTTTTATACCCTTGATACAGTTTGGCAGCACTGCAGGAAGTTCTCAAGGAAGATGGAAAAAGATTTTTGACAGCTTCCTCTGGTCTTCAAAAAAATGAATGGGTAAACATTTTCTGAAGTAGCTTGAATGTGAAATTTGCTTGTTTGATAGAGAGGACAGGCAGCATATTCAAAGTCAAGGTTGGTCTTCAGGCACTAAATCACTGGGTTCTTTTACCTTTTCAGATACTATGACTCATACTTTCAACAACAGAATAACTCAACTGTAATAACTGATCCTTTCTATCTTGAGAGCAGAGAAGGGGTAATGGTGTGTATGAAGTAAATAAAACTTTTGAGTATTATGATATCAATACATGATTATGTCCAAAAAAGAAAAGTGGGATGAGTACATTTAAATTTGGCCATCTTTGTCTTTAACTGAAACAGTGGTAAAAGGCTACAATAAATAAAAATTAATTTAGCCATTTTGCAATGTCTGCAAGTTTACTGCTGCAAACAAGCGTCAAAGAATTTTGCAAGGTAGCTGATTCAAAAGCAGTGGCACTTTCTCCATCTGATTCACTTATTTTTTTCATCCTCCTTTTCCTCACCTGCTCTGAATTTTCAGAGTATAAAAGGACAAGTCTGTTGCTCATGGGTTTGATCTGCTGCTAGGAGGTATCGCTAGGGTGAGTTAGGGCCTGGTAGAGAATCCACACTCTAGGATCTGGATACTGATCTAAGAATATGCAAATGTTATTTAAAGAATGTCACTTCTGTTTCCAATAAGCTCCTAGATCTTTTCTCTGGAAGATGCCACAGTTTGTTGATGAAAGAAATAGTATTGCTGGAAATGGCATTTTTCAAAAGTAAACAATGCAGCTTTAAAAACTGATTTTGTTTTTTCCTCAAATAAAAATTATATTTAGAAGCTGCATTATTAAGAGCTTAATATGATCTTTATGTCCTTGGAAGTCTCTGTACTTTTGTAACTGTCCTGAACTGAGTAAAGATAGCGGACCAGGTCCATTAGCTAAGGCCCTACTTAAGACAGTCTTTTAATACAGTGATCTAGCATTTTCCTTTCTTACCTGTACTGTCCTTAATGAAGATTTTAAGGAGCCAGTTCTTTGCAGGGGTGACTTTGAATTTGCACGAACTATGTCTAAGCGAGATTGATAGTCAGATGGATAAAGCGAGCTCCGAAAAACCTGTTCAAATGAAGAAAGCATTAACTTGGGTGCCATGATACAGCTTGCAAGCTAACAATCACCCAGGCTGAAGCTAACAAAAATGCAGCACTGGACAATTAAACCTGCTCCAGAGATATGCATCATCCGTAGTTTGGATTGATCACTTTTATCTAAAACAACATGCTTGCTCAACCCGAGACACATCAGCACACTCACATGGTCAAAGTAAACGTTCTTCAGAGATCTGAGAGGATTTACAAACAGAAAACTGCAGTGGCTTCCCACTAACACACGTAGCTGAGTTTCAGGCAAACCTAGAGGTATGAACCCCAGCAACTCCCTTCAGGCTCTCCATTTCCTGGGGAGATAAACTTTTAGTGCCTTCACAAGCAAATCCCTGTGGCCAGTCTCAGCTGCATCAGAGAAATTTTATCTGAAATGTTCAGGAGATGTGCAGCTCACGAAAAATTTGGGGAAACCATTAGATTACAGGGAAGACTGTAATAACCACTGTATTTACAAGTTCTTTCCAATAGTAAAAAAGACTAAATTATAAGACTAATACTAAATAATAATAATAATAATAATAATAAAGACTAAATTATAAGACTAATACTAAATAATAATAATAATAATAATAATACCTGATACTAAAAATAAGAAAGCTATTCGTGCAAGACTTTTAATAATAAAGTCAAGGAAGATGATAGAATTATGGTCAGTCAGTATTTTTATGGAAAGGCAATATTGTCCAATTAACAGGAAATTTAAAAAGAGTTAGACATTTGGTTGTGAAAGATCAAGTACTGACTTAAAGGATATTTTTTAACTGGTGCCACATGACATTTTAATTGTAAAACTAGAATAGCACAAAATTGCCATGGCATAGTTTAAATGAAGTAAAAATACCAAGTAGTCTCAAATGTGATTGTCACTGAAGTGATTTTGTATGTCTCGTTCTAACTGAATACTGCCATCTTGGTCCTGAGCTATGTAATGGAAAAAATAAAATGAGGACTGATAGCATTTACAAAAAAAGACTGAAAATGATCCAGCTTTCTTGACAAGGTGAACACATACACTCAACATACATTTCAGTGATAGGAAGTTTAAAGGCCAAACATCCAGAAAAACTGCAAGAAGTAATAAAGGGCTGGAAAACATGTCTTGGGAAAGAGAGACTGTAACTCAAAAGAGAACAGAAAGGGTGACTTGAAACCAAGCTGTAACTTGGCACAAGGCACAAAAAGCAATTTGGTAACAAGCGTCTCTTAATTCTAGAACAGCCTAATAAAAAACAGTGACTGAAAGATGAAAACAAAAAACCCTCAGAATAGAAAGATGAGAAAGATTTTTAATCATGTAATTAGTCGAGAACTTCTTATCAGAGCAGTGTAAGATTTTCTCTTACTGTTCATCTTTACAGTGAGATTCACAACAGAAGTGTTCTTTGAGAACTATGATTACCTGAGCTTGGAGTGGCAGTTAATTTAGGAAAAGCCTCTATTTTGTGGGAAAGACTGGATTGCCACAGCAGTTCTCTGTTTTTAAAATCTCTTGAGTTTATAAATCTGCACACTCTTGCTGGAGAAATGCTAAAAAAAGGGCTTGGTGTGTGTATGTATATATATATATATATATACACACACACACACACACACACACACACACACACAAGAAGTTTGTTCTGGGAACCTGAAATATTTGTTGCATTTTCTGCCTGGGACATGTCTAGCCCTAAAGTGTGAGAACTGTTTTTATGTAGCAAGTCTTAATCACTCTTACCTCTAAATCTTCATTTTCATCAATATTTTGGATATTTTGGTAGGCAGCAGTATATATCTCTAAAGCTTTCCCATGGAATAACATTTCTATAGTTATAAATTCAGAAAATATGTTCTAAAAGCAAATGAAAATAAAGGTTTTCTTAATGCAGTAGAGCATGTTTCCACTTCAAATACAAGAAATTACTGAATTCTGTACTTGGTATCTAAATGATACAAATAACTGCACAGTACCTAGTACTTTTAAGTAGTCAGACCTGAATTTTAGAAATTAAACATAAATGCTGGCTGGGCTGTCACTTACACAGTTGTCATTTCATACTAAATTCTAAGTAAATGCTTGAAAGTGAAGAAGAGGCTCATTAGCAATAAATAAAATGTCATGCTGAAAACTCACTTGATATTCCCTGATACATATTTGCAAGATGTATTCAGTGAATTTTTGCTTTATTGATGGCAATCTTTTTTAACAGGTTGGGGATAAATTATCTGTAAATTTTAGACATATTTGTAATTTACAAATAATTATATAGTTTAGTTAATAAAATATACTTTATATATTAAAAAAAACACTTAATGATGACATCTTCAGAACTCACAATCTTTTTCATATTACTCTGTCATCAAGTACTGGTTGGTTTGGTTGGGTTTTTCAACCACCTTTCTATTTCCTATTTAGTTTTCCTCCCCCCTTAAAAATAAAAGGTATCTCACTTCAGTGATTTTACGATTTGAGATCACATAATGGAAGTGTTTTTCAGTAACTGTAGTCTTTGGGACTTAAGCCACTCAATGTTTGGCATTAAGAGAGAAATTAAAACTTTGATTACTTGCAGTCACTAAGCACTTGGTGCTTTTTGTATCAGTAAAACCTTTAAATGCAGTAACCTACACAAATTTCAGCATGGATAAACAGATTATTTACTTATCACTATTTGCTGATATCAATCCACATGTATCATTCCAATAACAAATGCAGCTACCAGTGAAGTAGAATACAGCAACTCTTGCAAGGTGCAAATGCTAAACAATTTGATACAGGAAAATTCTGAATTCAATAAACTGTAAGAATAATTAACTTATTTTTAATTGCAAAGTACATGATATCTGGATTATGAAATATTCAGGAATACCACAAGATTTTTATTTACATAGGTTTAAGTTAATACTAAGTGTTTCTAATCTTTACAAAGAGTAACTACAGTAATTTTATTATGTGAGATGAAACATGATGTCATATACTGCAATGTGAGCACACTTACTTTTATGTCCTTTATTTTCTGTTTCTCAAAATTATCAATGGTTTCCTCTAACTGCCGAGTTGTTCGAGTTGCATCCAGGGAAGCTCTCTGCAATTCACTTTCAGCCTGGTAAAGTAACAGAAAGGTGAAAATAGTCCTGTATTTGATAAAAAGATATTTGCTCCAATTGTCATGAAAACATAGTAAGGTTTTCAAAATACTACACATCTGTGTTACTGTGTTTGTAAACTTAGTTGTAGCTTAATAAACAAATAAAGATGCTTTCTTCCCCTTTGTGACTTTGATCTGAAGCATGAGAGGTGACTAGCTGCAGCCAGTCAGGAACGTCCCACTGCCCTAATCCATTTCCTGTGACACTCATCTGCTAATTCCACCGAGCCAGCCCTGACACTCTGCTGACAACACGGTGACTGGGTTCAGGGAATTAACCCAGCACAAAGGTTTACCCTTTGGAAAAGTTAAGGTTTTTTTAAGCTGGTGTAAAGGAGAGGGCAGGAGTGCACAGGCCAGAGTGGTGGATGAGCAAAAAAGATCACCCTTTATTTTCAAGTGCAGATCAGCCTGCTGTGTCTAGAATGAAGCTTTTCTAGTGTCATGTGCTGAACCTCATCTTACTAAGATTTTATAAATTATTTTAATAGATAGTAGAGCAGCAGCTGGAACTAATGCACCTTTCCTGTAAGTATCTCAATCAACAGACTAGAGTTATAAATTTTTTAGATCCAAAAGCATTTCAGGTATTTTATCTTTTTATTATTTTTGTATTATTAAAATATTTTATAAAACCCATCTTCAACAGGGCACTGGGAAGGGGACTCACCAAACAATCCCAAATGCATAAATACACATTTTTTCTTACTTTGTTACAAAAAGCATTTTAGATACATATTTTAATTAGACATAACTATGAACTCTATAAAAAATGCACACTACCATTTAAATAAAAGATATTGAAGCTATTCTGGTTAAGTAAAGTCTGAGGACTGTGTACTGTTACAAAAAAGTGATGTAAAGATGTAAGAGCTTGCACTTCAGGACTGCAAAATTTGAGTCTAAACTTACTTTATTTTCCATACCTTACTAATCAAACATCATAGACTAGTCAAGCCAGTAATTACTTAAAGGCTCTGTCAGTTAATAAGTTAATATCATCAGGAATCTATTCTGTCCTGAGATGTAGGATCTTTCCCCTTTCTACAACAGTGCAACTTAAGAGAGGAAACTTTTTTTTTGTTTAAATGAAAATAGTCACCACAGGCCCAGTTCCCATGATCCAGTTTTCAGTGTTGTATGTATATGGAAACCTAAGGCATAAGCCATGCTGTGTCACTTCTCTTTCTTTGATTAAAATCTGGTAACCTTATATTACAGGATTATAAATTTGAAAGTCTCCTTACAAAACAGTTTAAAGTCATAGACACAATTCTGCCATTACTGGGCCAACAAAATTGGAAATGATCTTCAGTAGTACATAAGGGCACGTGTTCATCTCCTTTTCTTGATTTTGCCCAAAAAACAGGAGGGAAGTGGAGTAAGCAAAGACATTTTGTGTATTCTCAATTATTACAATCAGTCACTGTGTAAATGAAGGCAGCTGTTATGCATAAGCAGCCATTACACATGCAAATACAGCAAGTGATTTCTATGATAATGAAATACGTCTTTCCGATCCATCTTAAATAGACTGGCCAGGTTTTGTGCACAGATGCACTGGGAAAGGAATTTTGTTTGCTGTAGAGTGAAATGTCTAAACTTGCAGAACCTGTGTAGTTTGCACAACAGCAGTCTGACATTTTTCTCTTCTGAAGCACTCACCTGTGACTGGAGATATTAGTAAAGGAAAAATTGGCAAAATAACAATTGTTATTCATAAAAGCATCTGTTTTCACTTCTTTTAATATATTGTTATGTATTTACCTCAGATATTTCATAATTTCTGTATACTGGGAGGGTGCTCTTACTATATTGTCTGAAGCTTCCTGCTGTAAGACATTACTTACAGTTTGTTAACAGCTTTGCTAGAATTCAGTTATCCAGGCCACAATATTTCAGAACAGCTGTTTGTCTTGGACTGAGGGTTTGGTTATTTATTTAAAGGAAAAAAAAAATCAGACAACCTAGGTACACCTTTTCATAAAAAAAACCCTCAACAAAAAAACCCAAACGACCACAAACAGTGTTGGTTTATAAAAATGCATTTTTATATTTAAAAAAAATGAGGTAAGGTTTTTTCACAGTCATACTATCCCCATGTTTTACAAGATGAACTTGAAATGTGGGAGTGAGTATTGCTCACTTTGCTATTTGTGGCCGAAGTTGTTTGCTGCTGAAACATCACTGTTGCTCAAGAGTAACAGAACCACTGATGGAGCTATGCTATCACCAGTGAACACGGTGAAGCCTCTGTCGGGCCTAAAAGCTGACCTGCATACATCCTCAAAAGCAAATGAACATATTCTTGCACCCAATACTTTTTATGCATTTTGTGCTGATCACTTTAAAATGCAAATACATAGTGTTTGATGCCTTTGGCCATATGCAGACTATCTAGACTGTCCTGAGATTTAGTAACTCTTCAGGCAAGGTCTTAAATGCAGAAAACACAGGTGTTACAAAAAGCAGAAGTGTATTTGGGATTAGTTTAGCAAAGAGACAAGAAGAAACAAGCGAGGTGCCAGCCATATACCCATGAAATCAGCTGGGAATTAGCGCAAGAGGGAGAAAAATGGGACTAGTCTCCCTTTGTGGAGAACAGCTTACTGTTATCATTTACTCCCTTAATTCTAATGGAAGAGAACTCTCCATCACAGGTCAAGTTCTAACCCTATGGCTGACATCCCTGTGTCTTCATTACATGAGTAACTCTAATTAGTCATCGCTTGATGTACCTGATTTGATTAATATTAAATAGGAATTCTTTGGCAGAGACAAAAATAAAATTTAATTCTCCTGTGTGGCATTTGACCATCACTGTAATTTTCACTCTTTCAGCAGTCCCATGCTTCAGTCACTTGAAAGATTCTGATTTCTGAAATAAAAGTTGATGAAATCCTACAAAGAACAAGACTGCTTTACTCCTGAGTCCAATGCTAAAGTCTTAAGAAAAAAATAAACAGCAGATCATCATGAACTTAAATGCTGTATCATAATACACAGGTATAAAGGGACTGAAGTGGGATTGCCTTAATCCCCTTTCTTTTGGCATTTTGTAGATTCTGATTGCTTCAGAATTTGAAACTTCAGTGAGATTTTAATGGAATTTCTGTGGAGGCTTAATTTTTCCCTCTGTGATACAGAATAGTATACTGGAGAGGGTCACTGGTCTTTTGAAAGGAAGAGTAGTCTGTTTGAGTATTCTACTAATAGAATAACAACTTTTCCTTTCACACTTCATCTAGCAGCTCGAGGAAACTCATACTCCATCTAGGTACAAGGAACTACCAAACAACAGTGAGAAAAACAAAAAAAAACCCACCAAAAAATCCACAGAAGTAAAAAAGGAGTTGTCTGATTACACTTATGTTCAAAAACCTCCAAATTCCTAGATGCAATCTGTGCTTAACTTTCGTGCAGAAACATATCAAGTACTCTGCAGTTTCTCTTCAATCAAAAAGGGAGTGAGTAACAAGCAGCTATTATAAGCTGTAACATTATAAAGTTTATGAGAGGATTCAACGTCAACATAGGAAACAGTCCCTCTAAAGAGCATTCTTCTCTTGGTACTTTCCAAACACAATAGTTTAATTCCCGAGAAATTTTAAAAACGTTTCTTATAGCCACTAGAAATGCAGGATACAATAATGTGCCGATCTGATGGATTCCGCTGACGTGTCTTTTCCAGTTGAGATAACTGCTTGGCTTCTCTGTTCTTTGCTGTTAAAGTTGCTTTAAGATCATCCTGGAAATAAAATGTTTTACACGTTTGAAATAGATCTAGGATAACAGATTTAGGATAATACAAAATGCACTTTTCTTCATACAAGCATTGCCTAGAAAACCTGAACAAAACTTCTGCTTTAAATAAAACCAGATTTTTATCCTGTTAAATGGTCCCCTGAAAGAGTAGTCAATGGGGACCACGAGAGTTTAGCACCTTGCCCAAGTTTCTGTAGCACACGCTATAATTGAAAATGTGGGTAAAGAAGAAAGATATTTACAGCCTTTCATGAAAAGTACAGTACATGGTCAAGAGCCCCATTCCAGGCTTAGCAATAGAATAAAGGTGGCATTAAACTAAAAATAAACCAGAAAGAAAAAAAACTAAACAGGCATCAGTCAGTACCAATCAGGTCACAAATAACACAAAACTGCCACACAGTGTTTAAGGTGCCATAAAAAAACCCATGGCTGAAAGAGTTAAATTGCCTATTTATATATGCAGTTAGTAAGACGTTTAAATATATTTGGAACAAAATACATCCTAGTAATGTAGCTGGAGAAGATGAAACTTTTCAATGTAGAAAAGGCAGAAACTGTCGATAAATATTTTTGCTCCTCATTTCCAAAGAAGTAGGATGTACTTCTAGGAAGATCTATGACAATTTAAGAATGTTTACATACCACTTTCAAATTCTTTTTTCACTATAAAACTGTGTTTTGCTAATAGTTTGGCATAGGTGGAATCTAAAGTTGTCAGATATTTATCACTCCATTTGCCCTGGTATGGGAAATGACATTAATTTTGATGGCTCTAATTTTAAGAAGCAGTACCTTACAACAAGCAGAAATACAGCCCGAGGGAATCAGTCTTACCAAAATCTGAGGGAGGAGTTGGGCATGCACTTCAAACCATCATTTCCTTTAAAAAGAACAGCTCCCATTTATCTACAACTCCAGAACGGAGCGGATTAAAGCTATTAAAGACTATCATCTCCTAGGATGTTGTCTGTGCTCCTTCCCTGGATTTCTGAATTTTAACATGTTGTAGGTCTCCTTCACCCAGAAAGACATACAACCACAAATGTTCCTCTTTCGGAAAGCTCTGTGATCCTCTGACCAGATCACTAGTCAATGCCAAGCACAAGCATGCCAAGGTTCAGAGTGCTGTGTCTTCAATAACGAGTCTGTACACGAGATCAGGATCAAAGCATGCGGTTCCTTCCTTTTTTCTATCCTTACTGTCTGTTTGTATGTCCTTGTGTATATGACTGTCATTTTGCTTCATCTTTAGGGACACAGCTCGTTTCTGATAATAAAAACAACTGCATCTTTAGCCCACGAAAACTAATTTTGCTGCTATTCTTTCAAAACAGAATACAGACAACCTTGAAGGCCATCTGAAAGTCTACCAGAAAGGGCGTTCTCCTTTATCAAAACCATGCGACTGCAAGAAAAGCAGTAATAGAATTTTTTTAAAATTGATTTACATTTTAAATTTTAAATCAAAGGTAGAGAAAGAGGAGATAAAAACATATTTGCCATAGAACGAAGCCAGTTTTGTATCTAATGGTCACAGCTGTATGTTTACTGATATTTAAGGACTGGGCCTTGTTAACAGCACTGACTGTCTAGGCCCATTTAAAACAGTCAATCAGAATTTAACACTGTGGCTGAAAGGGTTCTGACTTTAATGCAAAACATACTTGAGAATGCTAAGGAAATTACTACAGGTACCACTATAAAATTCAGTATTTTTTCCTAGCACATAGTGACTTTGGAAATACCTAGAGGGACTGCACTGTTCCCTTCTCTACCTCTGTTCTCTGTGGCAACAGCAGCCATCATACTTCTCTGTGCTAGCTGAAGCCTGACAAAGCTTTGGTGCTACTGTGGCTGTAGTGGTGGAGCTATATACAGGTTTGGGATGTACAAAGATAGGGCAGAGTTACATACATATTTTGTCTAAGATGTTGAAAAACTGAAAAGGGTGCAGAAAACAACATTTAAAAAATATTCACAAGCTGCAGAAAATGCCATTATTGTGGCGAAAGAATTAAGGTCTACATTTTTAGCTAACTGAAAAGAACAAAAAATAGGTTTTACTAGCATCTAAATACCTTCATCCAGGGGAAAAAAAAAACCCCAAAACAACAGAGCATCACAGAGCTCTTGAATCTCAGTGGAACATATAACAAGAACCAAAGATTAAATGAACTCTTTTGCTTAAAACAAAACATCACAGACATCAAATAACCACTAACTACCACAGTCCTACATTCCCCTCCAGTGTCTTCAGACCAAGATTTGATGTGTTTTTGGAAAACATGCTTTAATTACACCCAAAGAGAAATGGAATGGAGTGTAATAGCCAGTGAGATAAAGGACAGATACAGAGAATATAAAATTATTCATAGTCCCTCTGGGTTTAAAATATTAATTCAAGTAATATGTAAGAACTCTGGTCAGCCATCTAATTTCAAACCACACAGAAGTACAGCTACAGTCCATCCACCAGACAGTGAGCTGGCAGATCCTCATCACTGTACTGTTACCTGCTTTAGTCACTGAAGTTATTAAAGCAAACCAATTCTTTCTTCTGCAGGTGGATCACCTTGGTTTTATGATGTCCTGTTTTATATGAAGAAAAGGAAACCAGGAACAGAGTTGCCAAAAAGCAGAAAAGTGAAGACTGATATATAGAACAATGAAACACAAAGAAATCCTAAAATCCTACATTTAAGCTGCATTACAGGACAAGAATATTATACTGGCTTCCACTAAAGGTGCCAAATCCTGCCCCAGAGAGCTACTCAGCATAGTAAACCAGGACATGCGAATGAAACAATTTTATTGCATTAGCAGTTAAAGGACAACACTATTCCGATTAATTTGGGCATCTTTAAAGCATTTAGTATCACAGAACATTGATGTCTTACCCCACAGAAACAGCAACAGTTCTTTTTAGATACAGCACAAAAATGGTTTGTGTACAACCTGGAATGGATCCATTAAAGAGCAGTGAGAACCCCCCCTATAAAAAGTGCTATAATAACATACTCTGCCTGGTTTTCCTTAAATCAGCTAATGTAGTTACAGGTAACCCAGTCGTACAACTAGCACCCTGTGCTAGCTTTACATGAGTGACAAAACTGCCCTTTTCACTAAAAATGTCCCAGTGTTTAGAGGTGATAACTGAAGACCTGACAGTTGAAGTTTTAACCAAGGTTTATGATAACAGCTTGGGGGGGGTGGAGGGGTGGGAAATCATTTAATGGTCTACATTTTCAGTGAAATCTCTCTTAGTTCAAAGGTATGTTGATAAAAGTTAATCCCATCTACAGTTTAAGAATGTTTTTGTGCTCCTTGCTGTAGCTAAGATAAACATTATGTAATGCTTTCTGGCATTCTGAAAGGCAGAGACAACAGGAAATGCCATTCACTGTTGCAAGGGATGACCTGGCTTGAGTTGCTTCCGTCCTCAGCATTCACTGGCTGTCAGTAGCAATGCACCTTGAGACAGTATTGTCAATGCTTTGGAAGTCCCAGGCACTGCTGTAGTGCTCTGTGTCTCCTCAGCAACACTACTGCCACAAACACATGAAACTTGTCTTCCACCCTCACCGTGTATATCCTAGAGAATACTCAGTTCTAGGTCTCACAAACTGGGTTTCAGACTGTTAAGATACCAAATTCTAGGATACAGGCTCTCTAGTCTATAACTGTTAAGGACTACCACACGTAGTACCACTCAAATGCAGGATGCTTTTCCTTCATAATTGTTTCTCTAACAACCAAGTGAGAGCTGTGCAGTGAGTTCTGAATGCTATATCACAGAATCACAGAATGGTAGGGGCTGGAAGGCACCTCTGGAGATCATCTAGTCCAACTGCCCTGCTAGAGCAGGATCACCTAGAGCAGATCACACGGGAACATGTCTAGGTGGGTTTTGAATGCCTCCAGAGATGGAGACTCCACAACCTCTCTGGGCAGCCTGTTCCAGTGCTCTGTTACCCTCACAGTAAAGAAGTCCTTTCTTATGTTTAGGTTGAACTTTCTGTTTTCCACTTCATGACCACTGCCCCTTGTCCTGTCACTGGACACCACTGAGAAGAGTCTGGCCCCATCCTCCTGACACCCACCCTTTTAAATATTTATAAGCATTGATGAGATCCCCCTCAGCCTCCTTTCTTCACTGTATTGAAAGGATATAAGAACAAAAACATATGAAAAATACTAGCATGAGACACAGTACCACAATGCACTCAAATTAACCATGATGAACACACTGTAAGATTTTTGTATGTAAAATATTATCAAATAATGATCACTTTACCTTTTGGTTTATATAATTATGACACAGATACATACATCAATTACAGATTTGAGTTTACAGGATGAATGTATCCTTTATGTAATACACAAGTATTACGAAGTACTACTTTCGTCCTGTAAACTAGTGTCTGCTGTTTAAAATTTACTTGCTCAAGCTTATCCCTCCTGGAGGAACGAAATTTACAGATATTTTGTGGGAATATTTCAAACCTCTATACACACTGTTTCCAGAATATAGTGAGTGAAGAGACCATGGTACTTTGTGTATCTTCATGTCATCCTGATGACTTTGCAGGACAGAGAGAGATTCAGGCCACTACTTATTTATCAATTTCAAAAAGTGTCTTCTACATTATAAACTTCAATGCAGAATGCAGTTCTAAGTTAGAAAAGCTGTTAAAAGCAGCATATAGATGACTAAGAGCCAAAAGCATTACATGTAATTCACTTTTTGGAACTCTAAATAATAATAATAATAACAATAATAAGTAATAATATTAATAACAACAACATAATTTATAATTAAGAAAAACATCCTGAATTTGCACTATACAGGAAATTTCACACTATCCACAATGCCTTTTTTTAGCATTTGCTTGTGCTCCAGAAGTCTGAATATCCTTGTCTTTACATCAAAACTTTTTCCTCCAACATATATATAGCTTCAATTCAGATGTATTTGCTATCTAATTCAGTTAGACTGATTACTGCAATATGAAAAATCAGAACCATTCTCCCCTGTAAAGCAGAAGTTTTCAACTGAATGGGCAGAACACCAAAATGTACCTTGTGAGAAAACAGACGTTGAACCTACCCTTTTAAGTTTCACTATGGTCCCATAACTTTTCAGAGGTTCAACAACCTTGGCTTCAAGCCTGTCAACCTATAAAAGAAATCACAAGGTCACAAAAATAATCTACATCTAGGGTGTGCAGAAACAGGAAACAATTTACTAGTGTGCTGGTTTTGGCTGGGATAGAGTTAATTTTCTTCACAGTAGCTGGTATGGGGCTGTGTTTTGGATTTGTGCTGAAAACAGTGTTGATAACACAGGGATGTTTTTGTTACTGCTGAGCAGTGCTGACACAGAGTCAAGGCCTTCTCTCAGATTTTTGCTGAAAACAGTGTTGATAACACAGGGATGTTTTTGTTACTGCTGAGCAGTGCTGACACAGAGTCAAGGCCTTCTCTGCTTCTCACGCCACCCCACCAGCAAGGAGGCTGGGGGTGCACAAGAAGTTGGGAGGGGACACAGCTGGGACAGCCGACCCCAGCTGACCAAAGGGATATTCCATACCATACAACGTCATGCTCAGCTGGGGGAGGAAGAAAGAAACGGGAGACGTTCGGAGTGATGGTGTTTGTCCTCCCAAGTAACCGCTACGTGTGATGGAGCCTGGCTGTCCTGGAGGTGGCTAAACACCTGCCTGTCGATGGGAAGCAGTGAATGAATCCTTGTTGTGCTTTGCTTGCATGCACAGATTTTGCTTTACCTATTACACTGTCTTTATCTCAACCCACGAGTTTTCTCACTTTTACCCTCCTGATTCTCTCTACCATGGGATAGCAAGTGAGTGGCTGTGTGGTGCTCAGTTGCTGGCTGAGGTTAAACCACAACAACTAGTGACTCATTTTATTAGGAATTTAGTCCATATATGCTGAAAATATAGTGGGATGGAGGTTTTAAAAATATCGCAAAAACCAGAGTCAATTAAATTAACCAGTGAATAATTTTTATTTTGCAGAGCTCAATCTGATTTCTAGTGGAATTCCTTTTTCTTCATTGGCGATATATCAGGATAAATAAAGCATGGAGATTTTAACAACCGAGTACTAAGTACATCAAACACTGCATCTTGGAGATCTGTAGCTTTCTACCTAAAGATCAACATATTTCCTCTACACTTGTTGGTAGAGTATAGACTAAGCCATCTTTGCTATCAAACATATTGTACACAGAAATGCTACACTTATGTTCTTAAAAATAATGTCTACGGCATTGTAGGTACTGAAAATATTAAAAATACCAATAAGTTGAGTAAAATGCATGAATGCTCTCACAGATGAGTACACCTGAATTTTTGTTTCAGTTCTCCGAGTTAGAAAAACAGCTACATATGGTCAGACAGGCAATAGGATAAGACCTGCCTGTTTGTCAAAATACTGCCGAAGTGGCCCCAGCATAAGCTGCTGATGACTTTGGACCAGTGAGCCATCTGGCCCATCGCTGTTCTGTCCAGATTTGGACAAGGTGCATATCTCTGCTAGAAAGGGATAGACATTAATTACACTCCCCTCGAAACTGGCAGTCACCAGTCAGCTAAAATCTATGCCACCTGAGCTAACATTTCTCCTTTACTACACTCGACCAGTGCACTGACAAACTAATTCACTTAAACTATCAATAGAATGGAAAGGAATGGAATAGGGCAGTAGGCTCTAAATGAAGCACATGATGCAGACATACCAAATTACCTGCCCTTCTTGCTTATTTGCTCTTCCATATGTTGTGGAAGTACCTCACACCTCAGCATTTATATATCTAGCACGGCAGCTGAAGACCAGAAATCGATAACCCTTATAAGCTAATTTTCTCTTGCTCACATTGTCAACACAGATGAAAACTGTTAATTAACCTGATGCCCAAAAGAAGTAAAGCTGAGATTATCTATTTGGCTTTCATAAGCAAAGGAGAACTTGATTAAAAGTTTCTCTTTTTCTTTGATTCTGCCTTTTCTTCTTCAAAGGGCAGTGGTGGTTTGGGGACAGGCATGTTAGGAGGATGTTCTTAAAAACATACCTAAAAACTGAAAGCAGCAAAACTCAAGTTTTTACACAGGTACCTTCCAATTACAGATTAATAGTTTAAAGGTGAAAATGTACAGAGGGATCGTGCAGTCTGACTTCAGATACACCTTTGGCCATAATATAAATGTACCCTATTAACAGAGGGATAAATTGCTATGACATCAGTTGAAGCATAAGGAACTATGTATGGCTTAGATGGGGCCAGATGCAGAAGATCTTATGGGAGGGTAGGGGGGTTAAAAAAAAAAATAAAAATCACATTATCCACACCCTTGGATTTCTATTACTTCTTAAAAATCTGACTACCAATACATTGTTAAAGATCCATGGCTATTTCTTGTTTTTCAAACCCTATACTTAGTACCTTATACTAGATACCTCATAGATTAACTTATCTGAAAAGGTTTTCTTTTTCTACTTTGTTAATATAGAAAGATGACTTGCTATGCTTCTTTTTTTTTAAAAAAAAAGTCCTATCTGAAAACATCAAGAATGTCAACTACTTTAGTCTCTTTAAAATTAGAATGGGTTCTTAGCTTTTCAAAACTATAAACGGGAATTTTCTTTGCCTTACTAAAAGAATAGACAGGCACTCCAAAAACTAGTTTGAGTACATTTGCCTGAATTTATTTTTTCTTAAATCTCAGCATTTGGAATTCTGGATCATAAGTTACAGTTTGACTGGCCCCACACATAGATGTGTAAGTGGCTAAACACCTTTCTTTACACTCTCACTTATCTAGCAAAAATATGACTATATTGTTGCACACGGTCCAAATCAAGTTTGTACTTTTAGTGTTGAACTACAGACTTATGAAATCTACAGTGGTCCCAAACAACATCTCAGGCCCACAGTGCCTAGTGAGGGATTCCAGTTAGTATTCTCTTCCATACTGCTTATCATAACAGACTCAGCAAAGGGAAAACGACTGATTTTACCTCAGCTGCTGCTAGACAACTCAAGCCACAAAACTAAAATACTTTATTAACCATAAATCATAATCCAAAGTCTAAGACCAATAAAAGATTTGCTCTGTCTCAAATTCTGTCAGTGCTCATATGAATAGTTTTACTGACTTCAACAGGAGTAATCACAGGCAGTTTTCACCAAAATTATTAGCAGGCTATTCTGCTCTGCCATTAATATATTTAAAAGTGTTTTCTCCTATATTTCTCTTGTGATGGCAGAGTATATCTTTTCCCTTTTAATCATAGATAAGTAACTGAAAAGTTCAGATGGCAAACACAACATGTACAGCTTTAATTTTGTACCTCTGCCTGGCGATAATCCTGAAGTCTGGAAAATTCATCTGCAAAGTTTTTCAGTCCAACTTTTAAGTTTGGTGTCTCTGTGGCTGCATATGCATATATTTCATTTACTAGAAGATCTGCTTTGTCTCGTAGTCTGGCAGTTTTACGTACATATCCAGCAAATATTTGGCACAATTCACCAAAATGTTTTTCCACATTTGAAACAGCATCTTGTATTTGTCTCGTCTGGTTGTCCCTGGATATCAAAGAAAAATAAGTGAAAAATAAGAAGAGGACAAATGGGTACAACACATACAGAAGAAAAAAATATATAATTATACTATTAATAATTTATACTTGATTTGGACATCTCATTTCAGTGCAAAACAGAAATCTATTCTTAAAAAGACAACGTTGTAACAGTCTGATGTAACGTGTGCTTATTTATGAATGAATAACAAAGAAACAAAGCAGGATTTATACTTAAAAATAAAGATCCAACAGAGGAAAATCCAAATCACAAAAATCAGCCCAGAAGTTTTCCTCCTGGGGTTATGCAAAAGCTATTACTATTGGTATTAATTAGTAACAGAGTGGTAACCTGCAGGTCTCAAACAAGAGTGGGTCATACAGCTTCCTGCAAGAGTCTGCAATCTAAACAGAGAAGTCCATGGTTGGAGAAACTGGGTAGCAGAGGGCAAATCTGTAACGGTATTAAATGTGCTTTAAATTGTGACGGTACCAAACTGCTCCTGATCAGCACTACAGAGGATAAGTATCCCTGAGAATAAGAGAATAAAAGTGAATGGACACAGGTACAGAGGTGAGAACTCTAAAAACACAGAAAGGACATTCATCGCATCAACAAATTATTTTCTTTAAAATTATCTTACTTTCATTATTTTCTTTGAACCAAATGCCTGTATTGTTTTATTATTAATGATCTAGGTAAGTAGTTCTGAATTTTTAATTCATATACTTCACTGGATATTTTTGCTTTCCTTTTCCTACATCACTTGATGGTCTTGCGTTAGTTACGCTTCAGTGACACTATTAAACCAAATCAGTGTCAGTGAATTCACACCAACTGTTGTTGAACTGACTGAAACAACTACAGGACAATTTAGCTAACAGTAACTGCCTGACAGTGGGTCCTAAGAAGTCTCCATGGTCTACATGAGGTGATTCATGTGAAGTGCTGGAATTCTCAGCAAGACTACAGTCTTGGTGAGGGACAGAAACAATGGCTTAAGTACTTCATATCCTTCAGCTATCCCAAATCCAAATGCGGAACAATATTTAAATACTGACTTAAGATCACAACGCATGAAAATCAGAAAAGTGTAAAGAAATGTAATGCTTTAAGAATAAACATCAATGCAGTCAATTCAAATGAAGAACATGTTTCTTCAGGAGCTCTTCAGGAAAAATATTTCAGGCCAAAGTTCTGCTACAGGCAAAACCCCAGTTATGTTCCTTCATGGCAAGCAAGTCTAGAAGACTGTTCAAAAGAGATTTTGTTCAAAGAAAAAAAAAAAATCCAATTAAGTTGCTCAGTCCTCCAGGACATGCTTGAGCAAAGAATTATTTGAATAGGAAAGGCTTCACCTAGTGAGAGGGAAAGCAAGTCTCTGTAAGTATTAATAAAGTTGTTTTTCAAAATTAATATTATCTGATAAAATCTTTTGTAAAAGGTACATCTTTTCTATTTTATTAGAAGGTCTTCATGTCAGAAAGTGTTTCTCTCCCCGGGGGAAGCCTTAAGCACGTTTCCTCACCCACTTTACAATTTTGATCTCACAGCACTCCCATGCAAATATTTAATTTCGGGACATGAAACACTAAATTTCCTTAGACAGGGGTGTGAAGAGGTTTTTTTTCTCCTCCTAATTATTTGTGACCGCTTAGAGGCGGCCACAGCATGATCAGCGAGAGGCCCGATTACATGGGCGAGTCTTCCCTTAGCAACCTCGGCACCGCACGCTGAGCCTAGAAAAGTTTTGCGGCCTTTACCTGAGGAGA